TGGTACTGGCTCAGAAACGGAAATATAGATCAATGGAACAGGATAGAAAGCCCAGCGATAAACCCACACACATATGGTCACCTTATCTTTGATAAAGGAGGTAAGAATATACAGTGGAGAAAAGACAGTCTCTTCAATAAGTGGTGCTGGGAAAACTGGACAGCTACATGTAAATGTATGAGATTAGAACACTCCCTAACACCGTACACAAAAATAAACTCAAAATGGATTAAAGACCTAAATGTAAGGCCAGACACTATCAGACTCTTAGAGAAAAACGTAGGCAGAACACTAAATGACAGAAATCACAGCAAGATCCTTTTTGACCCACCTCCTAGAGAAATGGAAATAAAAACAAAAATAAACAAATGGGACCAAATGAAACTTCAAAGCTTTTGCACAGCAAAGGAAACCATAAACAAGACCAAAAGACAACCCTCAGAATGGGAGAAGATATTTGCAAATGAAGCAACTGACAAAGGATTAATCTCCAAAATTTACAAGAGGGTCATTCAGCTCAATATCAGAAAAACTAACAACCCAATCCAAAACTGGGCAGAAGATCTAAACAGACATTTTTCCAAAGAAGATATACAGATTGCCAACAAACACATGAAAAAATGCTTAGTATCATTAATCATTAGAGAAATGTAAATCAAAACTACAATGAGATATCATCTCACACCAGTCAGAATGGCCATCATCAAAAAATCTAGAAACGATGAATGCTGGAGAGGGTGTGGAGAAAAGGGAACCCTCTTGCACTGTTGGTGGGAATGTAAATTGATACAGCCACTGTGGAGAACAGTATGGAGGTTCCTTAAAAACTACAAATAGAACTACCATACGACCCAGCAATCCCACTACTGGGCATATACCCTGAGAGAACCATAATTCAAAAAGAGTCATGTACCAAAATGTTCATTGCAGCTCTATTTACAATAGCCCGGAGATGGAAACAACCTAAGTGTCCATCATCGGATGAATGGATAAAGAAGATGTGGCACATATATACAACGGAATATTACTCAGCCATAAAAAGAAACAAAATTGAGTTATTTGTAGTGAGGTGTATGGACCTAGAGTCTGTCATACAGAGTGTAGTAAGTCAGAAAGAGAAACAAATACTGTATGCTCACACATATATACAGAATCTAAGAAAAAGGAAGAAAAACGTCATGAAGAACCTAGGGGTAAGACGGGAATAAAGACACAGACCTACTAGAGCGTGGACTTGAGGATATGGGGAGGGGAAGGGGTAAGCTGTGACAAAGTGAGAGAGAGGCATGGACATATATACACTACCAAACGTAAAATAGGTAGCTAGTGGGAAGCAGCCGCACAGCACAGGGATATCTGCTAGGTGGTTAGTGACCACCTAGAGGGGTGGGATAGGGAGGATGGGAGGGAGGGAGACACAAGAGCGGATAGATATGGGAACATATGTATATGTATACCTGATTCACTTTGTTATAAAGCAGAAAGTAACACACCTTTGTAAAGCAATTATACTCCAATAAAGATGTTAAAAAGAAAAATACAGTCAATCATTAGGATGCTTGAAACAGGAAGGGAAGTGACCAGAACATCTCATGTAGCTCAGAGTTTCTCTGATTATGTCACAGTGAGTACTTAAAACGAGTGCAAAACTTGAAGCAAAGCTGCCTGTTATTCTTTTAAAAAAGAACAAGTATCACAAATTTAATGACCTTTTCTCTAATAACAAGTGGCTGTCAGGAGTCTACTGTCTAGCAGGTAGATATTTTACTCTTTGGTTCCTTTATTCACTGAGCAAACATTTTAGTGTCTCATAACTGCTCATCTCTGTGCCAGGTACTGGGAGTACACAGATGGATGATACACCATCTCTGTCCTCTGGGAGCTCATGGACCAGAAAGGCAGACAGGCAGAGAGAGTCTGGTAACATGGGGTGAGAAATCCCACGATGGGGCTTGGCCCTGGGAAGGGGGCCCAGCCCAGGCTTGGAGGTCAAAGACGAGGCCCTAAGGATGGGCAGGAGTTAGCTGGGTAAAGAGGAGAAGGTGTGGGGTCGAAGAGAGCAGTGCATGCAAGTCCAGAGGCGCCTTCAGGCAACTGCGGCCTCGGAGGGTTGTGTCCGCATCACTGAGGAGACATGAGGCTGGAGAGGGAGACTTTGCATGCCTTGGTAAGGAGCTTAGACCTACCCTGAAAGCAATGATGTGCCACTGGGGGGGTTTAAGCAAAGGAGTAAAATTACCAGATTTGTCTTAAGAATATTCTAGCAATAGAGGGCATGGGAAAAGACTGGAGCAGAGAGCTGATCTAAGATGCTTTTATAATAATGCAGGTGGGCTTGACATATAGAGGAATTTGATGTTAGAAGGGAGAATAAGCAGGACTTGGTAACTGTTTTTCGATAGACCAGCCGAGTGGGCTATCCATAGGCAATTGACTATATAAACTGTGTATTTGTGGGTCGGGAGTTAAATGTTTGTCCTTAGACATAGAGATTCGGGAGTCAAATATGGAAAAGGCCAGAGTCAGGGCCCTGGATACAGCAGTATTTAAGAGGCAGGAGGAAAAAGAAGGACCCACACACGAGACTTGAGTAAAGAACAGCTGGAAAAGTAGGGAGACCAGGGGCATCCCCAAAGCAGAAGAGGGGCCAGTGGTGTCGAATGCTGCCAAGAGCTCAGATAAAGGACTGAAGCGTAAGCAGTGATTTGGGTGCACCGATGTTGGTGGTAATTGTGGCAAAAGCGTGTTTAGTGAATCGGCAGGCTCAGAAGCCAGCACGGAAAGGACAGAGCGAATGAATGAGCAGTGAAGACAGAAGACAACGTCCATTAAGAAACCAGAAGGGAGTAGTTGCCCACCCTTTTAATAAACTTGATCCGAAGAGACAGTGGACAAGGCAGCAGGACATAGGGTTAAGAAGGCATTTTGTCATGGCTCTGAGTACCTTCGGTGTTGACTGGGAAAAGGCAGTAGCAGGTCTTAGAGCAGAACACTATTCCAAGAAAGGGTCTCTGCGGAGTCAGAGAGGAGGGGGAGGCAGGAGGAACCAGCTGTGGGCTGTCACTGGTGTGAGGAGTCCAGGCCCGTTTCCTCTTGGTTTGTCACCCATAGAACAAGGCATCAGTTGGGGCAGCCTTAAAATAGCTGTTGGAGACTTATTAAATCATCCCCCAACCACTTCCTCTTTAGTTGATTAAGTGTCGTTTTGGCATACCCCACCGTGCCTGTGCCTCCTGGGGACCAAGCCTGGCAGGAGAGTCGGCAGGAGTGTGAGAGAATCGTGGAGCCGCAGAATTTCAGAACTTGGAGCCATCTACTCTACCACCATCCTTGTGGAGGACAAACTGAGGCCTCTGCCCCTCCCCCTTTTGCTGGTGTGTGGGAAGGAGATTTTTTTACAAGAATTATTTGAAAAATCTTACAGGAAAACAGAAAGTTGAATAACTGTAAAAGCAGGGGTGCCCCAAACAAAGGGTCTTGTTGGTTTACAGATTTGCTCTAGTTTCCCTTCCTACACATAGAATCCTTTAAAATGTTTACAATCTTCCCTCTTCCTTGAACAGGCTGGATCCTAGTAACATAAGCACAGCCCTTATAAAGAAATCAACAGGGACTTCCCTGGTGGTCCAGGGGTTAAGACTCCACGCTTCCACTGCAGGGGGTGAGGGTTCCATCCCTGGTTGGGGAACTAAGATCCTGCATGCAGTGTGGCCAAAAAAAAAGAAAGAAAGAAATCAACAGGTCAGCCCCAATGGAATAGGAGATTCCTTCCTAAATGCTGGCTTCTCTAGACCCCTGCAGCCCAGCAGGTGGGGGCCCAGCAGAGGATTTGTCCAGCGTAGGGTCATTTCACAGAAGGGCCGCTCTTTTTTTTTTTTTTTTGGCAAAGGGTTTTCTTAAAACCCCATTTGTTTTAAGATTTTTCATTTAATATAAGGATTAAGTGCTGAGTTGGCAAGCTTATCAAATTTGGCTACTCTTTTTCCAGGGTTACCAACTGTATGCTGGAATAAAACTCTGCTAATCAACTTCCTGTTTCAAAAATAAAAAAGATGTAGATGTTTTCAACTGCAACAAACACAGAAATACATACTTACATGTCCTGCCCCCACTCCCAAACACACACGCATTTCTCTTTTAATATCTACTAGTTTTGGGTATGTTGACCTGAAACAAATAAACTGCCAGATATTTCTCCAGCAAAGATGGGTTTATTCAGGATCAGAAGAGAGTTGAAATTTGCTGTCTGCAGTCATGACAAGCCACAACCAAGTCCCGGCACAGCTGGGAATGGAGAACGCTTCTATGAGAGGTGAAAAGGAAATTGGAAGAGCTCTAGTAAACAGAGTCCATGGCTTTTCATTGGCTGGGTTGTTGTCAGGAAAGAAGAGGAGTCTTTCTTCTTCTTGTTTGCCTCTGCTATCTTTGCAGGGTATGAGAGCACCTCCTTCTGGTTTCCCAACTCTATTTAATTAAGGTTTCTCTTTTTTTATTTTTTTTTTTTTTTTTTTTTAGGCAGAGGTCTTCTTAGAAGCCCATATGATTTAGATTTATTTATTAATTTTTATTTATGACTGTGTTGGGTCTTCGTTTCTGTGCGAGGGCTTTCTCTAGTTGCGGCAAGCGGGGGCCACTCTTCATCGCGGTGCGCGGGCCTCTCACTATCGCGGCCTCTCTTGTTGCGGAGCACAAGCTCCAGACACGCAGGCTCAGTAGTTGTGGCTCACGGGCTGAGTTGCTCCGCAGCATGTGGGATCTTCCCAGACCAGGGCTCGAACCTGTGTCCCCTGCATTGGCAGGCAGATTCTCAACCGCTGCGCCACCAGGGAAGCCCTAGAAGGGACGCTCTTTTAAGGAATGGCACCCAAGTGCAGCTGTCCTCCCAGGTTGCTGTCACAGAGCTGGCCCCCTTCCTGGGAGCAGGGTCTCGGGATGCTGGTCCTGACCCCAGCTCCAGGCATAGATCCAGGAGTGCTAACGCAGATACTGCTTGCTTCCAGGTTCCTTCCGACCAAGGGGACATGGCTCTGCAGATGATGAGGCTGGTGACTCAGCAAGAATAGGATGGCCTGGGCTGGAGGTGAGCTGCTTGGCCTTGGGGCACGGAAGCCGAAGCAAGCACCCTGAAGGTGTAGGAACCATTCTTCTCCCTTTGAATCTGACTCGGGGGGGCGGGGAACCTCACTTGGGCTGTGAATGTGAAGGGTCCCATCAGCTTCGACAGAGAACAAAATCATTGCCTCTGTGACAACTTGGAAATCATTTCTGCTTCTGAAAACTAAGTTTTAAAAAACTGGACTTGGGGCTTCCCTGGTGGCGCAGTGGTTGAGAGTCCGCCTGCCGATGCAGGGGACACAGGTTTGTGCCCCGGTCCGGGAGGATCCCACATGCCACAGAGTGGCTGGGCCCGTGAGCCACGGCCGCTGAGCCTGCGCGTCCGGGGCCTGTGCTCCGCAACGGGAGAGGCCACAACAGTGAGAGGCCCGTGTGCCACAAAAAAAACATTAAAAATAAATAAATAAATAAAAATTAAAAACTGGATTTGTTTTCATCAAAATAAAGGGTTGAAATAGATTAACATTTTCTTATTACAAAAGCAAATTATGTGATTTATAGAAAAAACAGGAAATACAGGCAAACAAAAACAAAATGAACACTCATGTTCCCTTCCCACGGATAAGCACTGTTACCACTTAAGTGTTTATTCTTGCAAATCTTTTTTTGCTATGTATACATATATATTTTACACAAAGAACGCAATCATTGCTATGTTATTTTACAGTCTGCTTTGTTCACACATCAGTATGATGTCTGCTGAGCATTCCATTTTATGGATGTACCATAATTTACCTACCAAATGCCCAGTTGTTTCCCATAAGCAGTGTCTAGTTTGTCGCTTTTATAAACGGTGCTCTGGTGATTTATCCTGTTAGTTACATTTTTACACACATCCTTATCATTTTCTTAGGATAATTTCCTAAAAGCATACTTGTTCAGTTAAAAAATTGTAACATGTCTTTAAAATTAAAAGGATGAGTTCGGGACTTTTGAGTTTTAATTCATGGCTCAAGATCTGCAAAGGGACCTGATAGCTTCTATGATAGCCCTGAAAGAAATACCACTTCCTGTAGTTGTGGGGCTGCGATTTTGAAAACCAAACCCGAAGTCTCGTCCTGCAGTGTGTGAGGAAAGAGTTACTAACAGGTTACGCCTACGTGACCAGCCCCTTCTGACCTGAGACTAAAACAGGCTTCCTTGGGTGGTGCGCCACGCTTTCCCCACAGTTTGGTTTGCTTTGGGGAAGAGAGGGCTCCGGTACTCCTGTGTGGACGGGGAAGAATGCCAGAGGCTTGTGCTGGGCCCCCCTGGACTCCACCAATGCATATCGTTCTCCTTCTGCTTCTACCGGGTATCATTTGCTGGAAAAAAATTGAACTATGAGTGTAACTAGTTACTGGGTCTTATGAGTCCTTCGGGCGTTGAATTACAACACAAGTTGAATTCCCAACCTCACAGAGTCTTTTTGTTAGAGGTTAGGGTATTTGGGGGGGAACGAGTGAAAGTTTGAACATTAGGATATGTCATATGGGCAGATTCCAGTGAACCTGGGACCTCAAAGCTTTTTTGCCACTGGGAGCAGCCCTTCCATCCCTGTCTGAGGAGGTTAGTCTCTTGCCCTAAGATCCTATAGCAAATTCCCAGACTTGCCTAAGGCCCCTGTTCCTGCTACATTGTATTCTCTCTCAACCCACACCCATGCCTTCATGGGATTCCCTATGATGTGTTGACTGAGGAAGAAAAGTCTCAGGCTTGGTTTGTAGATGGTTCTGTGTGAAATGCGTGCATCGCCTGAAAGTAGACCGCTTTGGCACTGGAGTTCCTCTCTGGGACAGCCCTGGAAGATGGTGGTGAAGGGAAATCCTCCTACTGGACAGAACTGGGAGCAGTGCACCTGTTTATTTTGCATGCAAAGAGAGATGGCCAGAAGAAAGGGTCTGCCCCGAGTCATGGTTTGGTTGGGTCGTTGAACTGGACAACTGGAAAATCAAAAGGTCTGAAGGAGAGAGGTCTGAGGATAGAGCTCTCTGATTGACAGGGCGTGAAGATATTTGGGTTCCATGTGAATGCTCACTGAAGGGCAGGGGAAGGTTTTAATAATCGGGTGGATGGGATGACCCATTTGGTAGACATCAGACAGCCCCCTTCCCCAGCAACTCCTGTGGACTTGGGAACAGAGTGGCCCTGGTGACAGTGATGGAGGCTATGCATGGCCTCAGCAACATGAACGTGCGTCCACCAAGACTGACCTGGCTACAGCTACTGCTCAGTGCCCAATCTGCCAGCAGGAGACAGCGCTGAGCCCCTAATGTGGCACCATTGCAGCAAGGAATCAGCCAGCTACCTGGTGTTAGGTTGATTACATTGGACCACTTTCATTTTGGAAGAGGCAGCAAGTTGCTCTTACTGGAATTGACACTTGCTCGACATAGGTTTGCCTTCCCTGCCCACGATGCTTCTGCCAAAACTACCACCTGTGGCCTTACAGGATGTCTCATCCACCATCATGGTATTCACAGCAAATGAAATACAGCAGTGGGTTCATGCTCTTGGAATTCACTGGTCCAACCCTAGTCTTCATCATCTCGAAGCAACTGCTTTGACAGACAATTGAATGACTTTTGGAAGATTCAGTTATATTGCCGAATAGGTGGTGACATCTTGCAAGGGCTGGGGCAGTGTCCTCCGGTTTGTGGTAAATTCTCTAAATCAGCATTACGTTTCTCCCATACCCTGGATTCAGAAGTTCAGGAATCAAGGGATAAATATGAAAGTCAGTCCTCTCAATATTAACCCTAATGATCCAATAGTCAAAGTTTTGCTTCCCATCTCTGCAGTTTTAGCATCTGCTGGTGTAGAGATCTTGGAGAAATGCTTTCACGAGGAGACACAGCAAAGATTGCATTAAATTGGAACTTGAAGCTGCCATCTGGCCTCTTTGGGCACTGAATCAATAGGCAGAGTACTGGCTGGGGTGATTGACCTGACTATCAAGGGGAAACTGGGTTGCTGCTGCACGGTGGGGGTAAGAAGAGGTACTGCAGGAGACCCTTTGGGGTGCCTCTTAGTACTCCCATATCCTCTGATTAAGATCAATGGAAAACACATAAACAACAAGGTCCTACTACTGTGTAGCACAGAGAACTATATTCAGTATTCTATGATGAACGATAATGGAAAAGAATATTAAAAGAATATATATATATATATATATATATATATATATATATATATATATAACCGAATCACTTTTCTGTACATCAGAAATTAACACAACGTTGTAAATCAACTATATGTCAATAAAACAAACAAAAATCAGTGGAAAACTACAACACAATTTAGACTGCTAATGTCCCAGATCCTTCACAAAGGGCTTGAGTCATTACACCAGGCAAGGAACTAAGACAACGGAGGTGTTTGCTGAGGGCAAAAGAAATATGGAATGAGCAGTAGATGGTGATAGTTATAAATACTAGCTGTGGCCTTGTGACCAGCTGTAGAATGAGGACTCTAATAGTTTAAAGTATTTCTCCTTTATTTTGATGTGACTATATTTTAATAAATATTAACCCAAAATTTTTTATCTCCTCTCTCAATCTCTATCATCTAACCTGAGATGTGCTCATAATCACTTTATATGTAAGTGTTTTAAGTTACAAGATGTCAAAATAGGAGTGTGAATCAGCTAGGAAAAGAATGAACGTTATCCAAAGACGAAAAAGGGACCTTGATGCTCTCCTGGGGATGAGGTTAGAATGGTTTTGGTTGTAAGAGGGATAGTGTGTCATGTTAAGCAGAAGCATAGCTTTGTTTTTGTCTTTATTTGGAGATTAAATGGTGTTTGGGGCAACGTGTGGGTGGCCAGTTGAGAAGGGGTAGACTGTAGTCTTTGTAATGTTTCAACTTGCCTTGGGCAAACTCTGTTTTCCAGAGTTAAATTTCCACTATGTTTCTGATTAGAGTGGCCTAGAAGACTGGAGATTCTATGACCTTTGGGGGATGGGAACTGATTTTTCCTAGTTAGGCCAGCTGCTGTTTCACTTTATGAACTGTGGTCTTCTCATCTGTTTCTTAATTTCTTATTTCATGAACTCAGTGTTTGCTTTAATTTCCTTGAGAGGAAGCAAAGTGTTTAGAGTTTCCTAGTACAAACCTTCCAAGGAATGTTTCTCATCTGTTTCATCTATCTTTTGTATTTTGTGTTGATTTCCTCCATTTTAGTTGAGGTTGGTTGTGTGTGTGTTTTTTCATGTTTATTGTGTTTTCTTGTTTATGTATACTTATCTTTGAATGAGGGTAGTTATAGAATAATCTCATTCCTCATCCTGTTCTTTTGGTTAATTTTTAGCTTGTCCCCTTAGTTCTTATTCTGGAAGATTGGATGTTGTGGGTCCATATGGTCTGTTTAGTTGTTCAGGTGCCTAAGGGAGGTGGATGCTGGGATCTTGAGCAATAAGAACAGATCTTCCTCGACTTTGATGGGGTTAAACCTGATAAATCCATCGTAAGTTGAAAATAAGTCAAAACTGCATTTAGTAAACCTAACCTACCTAGCTTACCTAGCTTAGCCTAACCTACCTTAAACGTGCTCAGAACACTTCCGTTAGCCTACGGTTGGGCAGTCATCCAACACAAAGCCTATTTTATAATGAACTGTTGAATATCTCATGTAATTTGTTGAATACTGTACTGAAAGTGAAAGAATGGTTGTCAGTGTCTCGTGATCATGCGGCCGACAGGGAGCTGTGGCTGCTGCTGCCCAGCATCACAAGAGAGTGTTGTGCCAGGTATCGCTGCCCGGGGAAAGATCACAATTCAAAATCTGATGTATGGTTTCTACTGAATGCATATTGCTTTTGCACCATCTAACGTCGAAAAATTGTAAGTCAAACCATTGTAAGTCGTGGACTGTCTGTATTGGGAACCTTACTTGGGGCCCTTATTCACTAATGGCAGAGGCACCTAGATTTTGTTGTGGTCCCCTGCTGCAGGATGGACCAATCAC